ATGAATATAAACATTTTGAAACTTTGTATTACTAGATCAAAAGTCTCCAAAGTATACAAAACTATTGATTTCATAAATTATACAATTGAGAAATCAATCTTTATATTCATCTGACACAACTCAAAAAGTTATAGGTATTGTCATTTACTTAAAAGAACTTCTCTAAAAATTAATGTCAGTCTTAAGAATTAAAACTCAAAACAACTAGATGAGTCTTATATTTGTTAACATGACCTTTTAAAAGCTTAAAATATCTTCGTTGTTTGTTGTTTCAACATATTCTTTATGACATTAATTTTTCCTTTTAAGCGATAAGACTTTGTTTGACGGTAGAGAATATATTCTTTTTTTATCAAATTTAAATGTTTATAATCATATTTCTCCTATCTCTTATATTTACTTTAATGACATTTTTAATGATGTTGAGTTTGTTTTATTAGAATGATGAGAATCTTTATTCTTTACTAATGTTGTTATAAAGAGAAAATAACTAAATTTCTCTTAAATACAACATTATTTGACTTTATCTTCCCCCCAAACTCAACATCCTTAAGAAACTTTAAAATCTCATCCACATCAACTTTAAGTAGGAACTAACTTTAGAATAGAGTGACAACCCATAATTTAAAGTCTTGCAAAACCTTTATTTGGTACACCACTTAAACTTTTTTATACAATCTTGAGTGCTTTCTCCAAATAGACAGAGGGTTAGGAAAAATGATTTGTCATACTTCTTACCACATCTTTTTGAGATTTGAATCATTTTATAAGTCATATATATCTTAGGTTTGCCTGAAAATATACATTACTTATTAGCTCTGTAAATCCTTAAAGGAGTTAGCAAATATCCTAGACTTTATCTTCCTAATACATCATATTTAATAATGTTTTCATTCACTACAAATTGATATGATGACTTATAAGATGTCTAGGAATAAAGACCTCTCCTATATCAAATATTGATGCCCTTAATGAGAGTAAACTTCTTAGAACTTTATGCAATGTTGTTAAACATTTCCAGAAGCCATATTGAATAGGCTATAAATGACTATTCTAAAATATTAAAGCTCTCAATAACACCTAATTCGACAATTCCAGTTCCTTGATCATTCCTAATACATACTGGAATGTTTGTTTAATCTTTATAACCAACAAGCAATGAATAGAAACATCAAATTAGTCTATTCAATACATATGATAAGTTTTCATATGCAAGTCTACCTTGTTAAATACCAAAGTGAGAAGCCATATTTTCTTTATACTTTATGTGGTGTTCTATTTGGAACATATTTTTTCTACTTGTTCAAATTTCCAAAAAATATCAAGAGAAGTCCTAAGCTTGATTTTTTTGTGATTTAGGCGAACATATGTTTCAAATAAACCTTAGTACCAACTTTAATTTCTTTAATAATTAATTAAAGTGTACATTTTGTATTTTCTTACTTAACTCATTTTCCTTAAAACATATGGTCAGAAATTAGGTTATTAAGAGTCCAATATCTACCCTTATAAGTATCATAACCCACTACATACTGGCTATATAATGTCTCGAATAAGTATCAAATACACAAGTAAACCCTTGAATATTTTAAATTTAGTGCATCTGATCATTTAGTGTACTCCATAGTGTTCCTTTATTCTTTATTAAGACATGGTAAACCGGAAAAATTAAATGTCTATTTCTTGTATAACAGTCCTTATACCTTAAAGAATTTTTCTAATTATTTCCTCATTAAACATAATCTCCAGGTGACTCCCACTTTTCAAAATCCCAATAAACGTTAGAGGGATATTGATTTGCAAAAGTTGAAGCAAGTTAAAAATTCATGCAAACTTGAATAAAAATTATTCTTATATACACAATAAGGCAATTAAATAATATTTTAACAATAACTCATTCAATAATAAAACATGCTCGAAATTAACCTTAAGTATTTATAAAAGTACTTCATATTTAAACTCAATGAGAACAACGGGATACCTAGCACAACATTGATAGCCTTCCTTTGGGCCGATAATATCAACTTGCAAGTGGTACTCTCAATGTGGTGATCAAACATTGATAATCAATCCTGTCAAGTGAAAGTCTTCCTTTGGTCCGACAATCACTCACATGGCATAACTTTATATTATCCATGTTTATCACCATCTAACTATATGTGAACTTGTTATTTGGTCAAATTGAAGTCTTCCTTGGGGCTGACTACAGAGCGCATAAATACACATGCCCACAAACATCTGATAATTTTGAAAGATATGAATATCAGAAATCAGAGGCTACTTTGGCAACATAGTTCATCAAATTAACATCAACAAAAAGGATCAGAAAATTATGCAACATATGTAACTTTAATCATTATTAATTTTATCTTTATGAAAATAAAACTACCAAAATTATTTTCAAAACTAATAATAATATCCTTATATGCATAATTTAACAATTGGAAAGGTCCTCTAAACAAATTGTTAAATCCAGAAAAGAAAAATAAAAATTGGATTTTCCTAAATGGAATATTATTGATATTTTAACTCATTAACAATTCGACATAGGTTGTGGAGCACTCATTATAGCGCACAACAAAAAAATATCAATAATTCATTCCATAATTGCAAGTGTATATGTTATTTGGTCAAATTGTGACATTCCTTTAGGCCAATCACAATTCGCATACACAACAATACTCAAATCCCACAAAATCATTACTTAATTATTATTAATTGTTTCCATATGAAAATAAAATATCTAAGTTATTTTCAGCAATTAACAATAATATTTTCATACATCAAAATATTCATAGAAATTAAAAATTATGCCAAGTATTGATAAATTGTTAATTCATCACCATAATAAGCAACCTTTAATTAGCACAATTTAAAAGGAAAAATTAAATGCCATCAACACTTTATTATACCCATAAATATTTATAACATATTATAAATATATAAACAATTATCTAAAAATTAAATAAATGACAAAGGAAAAAAAAACACCATTCTCAGCTCTTTCATACGACATTGTTGGTATCCTCCATACAGCACTCTGAGTGCCACAACATTCAGGCGCCTCTTCTTTTCTTTTTCTCTCTTTAATCAAAGATTATGATTTTTATATCGATGAATTTGTAAACTAAAAACATGATAAACTTATCAAATCATTCATGGATGGAGATTTGAACAATTTTAAACAATTAAAGATTCTAAGTCATGCAAAATTGTTCAATGTATTATCAATATCCAAATGATTCTAGAGTAAACAACATGCTTTTAAGTAATTCTAAAGATCCAGCAATCATCCATGCAAAACCATGCTCTGATACCACTTGTTGGAATCTAAAAATAAAAGCCACAAAATTCCAGAACAATCAAGACAAAGGATCTAAGGATGGAAGAAAACCAAAATCTTGAACAATATTAGAATTACCTGGAACCATTAAATAGATTGGTCTGACCTGCAAGAAGTTGTGGTTTATGTTCTTCCTCAATTATGCAACCCGGACCAAATATGAGCAATACTCTCTGTTTGATGGGGAACAGGAGGTACAAGAAACATAGTGTATTGGAGACTATAACCATATATTTATTGGTTAATCCTGGGGTTTCCCATAATCCCCTAAGATTAATGGGCTGGTTTCTAGCCACACTACTAAATGGGAAGTCATGGGTCCATAATCAAGATCATGTATATGCCCATTAAATAGCTCAAATACAACTTCTCTTTAATTTCTTACCCACATATGAATTAATTATTAAATTAATTCCAACATGCATTGTGTTTGGGGGTAAAAATACCCTGGACACGTGGAGGACGCTCATTGGTGTTCAGGGATTAACGGAAGTATCCCAGGTCCATCTCGAACTTGCCGAGGAGACTGGGTCTGCCCATAAACAAGGCTAAGTGTAAAAGCCCTGGTTTGACCTGGATGGGTTCGATATGCTCGTACCCGACAGGTTCGACATAAAAAAGACAAAGGTAATCGTCGGTCGTAAGCACTGTTGGACCCATCACCTATAAATAGAGGGCTCCATTTCATGCTCAGGTATCGAATCTCATCTCGAACTTAATATTGAGTCCGACCAACACTGACTTGAGCGTCGGAGAGTTTGCCCTCTTATGCAGGTTCACTCGTGGGTTCAGGTCGAGTCGGGGACCGGGTTCGAGCTAAGTTCGTAAAATCCGCGTTGTGCAATTCCTTGCATAAACATTTGGTGCCGTCTATGGGGAAAGACAATCTAAGTCATCCCGATCTAAAAAGCGTGAACAAGGATGGTTCAACCAGCAAACTCAACCAACACAGCCGACCGAAGAGCTCTGGCTGCCAACGATGGTCACCAGAGAGAGGTCGGGGCGGAAGTGGCAGAGGGCCAGATTCATGAAGGCCATGGGACTGAGCCGCTCCGTAGGTCGGCATGCATCACCACACCCGTTCTGCCACCGGCACATCCAAAACCGTCTAAGGCCAATCACGGCCGAGGTGGTGCCTCGAGGAGAACCACTCGAGGAGTAGCCCCAGCTCCTACTAGGGAGAATTTTGATGCACTCCAGAAAGAAATGGAGGCAATGCGCACTTAGATGC